GAGAAATACAGAAAAGGTTAAAGCACTTTCCTAAATTCTACTTCCTTACCATTAAGATAATTACTGGTAGCTGGGCAAGGTGGTGCATTCCTGTTATCTCAGCTACTTGGGAGACTGAGGCAGGAGGATCTCAAGTTTGAGACCAGCCTGGGCAACTTAATGAGACCCTATTTCCCCCCCCCCAAAAAAAAGAAAAAAAAAAAAGGGCTGAGGATGTAGTTCAGTGGTTGTGCTCTTGGGTTCAATTCCTAGTACCACCAAAAATCAAAATAAAAACAATTAAGCGTCACTTATTCTTGGGTAGCTTTTACTTTTTATTGCTATTGAGATTGTAATTGTATTCTTGGATTTTGTATTCTTTTTATTGCTATTGAGATTGTAATTGTATTCTTGGACTTTTTTTTAGTAGTTCCATCCACAATTTATTGAATTATAAATCAGATTAAATGATTTTTGATTTCTGTAAAATAATTGGCCATTTAAAATTCTCTCTTTTTTAATAGTGATATCACCTGGAAATAACATTTGTCTTTTTAAAAAATATTTATTTTTTAGTTGTAGTTGGTCATAACACCTTTATTTCACTTATTTATTTTTTTATGTGGTGCTGAGGATTGAACCCAGGGTCTCGCATGTGGGAGGCAAGCACCCTACTGCTGAGCCACAACCTCAGTCCCACATTTGTCTTTCTTTGAAGACAGGTATACTTCTAATTTTTTTTTTTTATGTGCCAGTGGAACAGGTTTAATTTATAGAACGGTGTTAAAGAAGAGTTGCAAATAGGGCAATATAGGAACGCCTTGTATAATGTTGTTGGCTATTCATCTGAGATTTTTAAAAATCATGTGAAAAATATTTAGTAGTTAACTAGTTCAATAAGACTAGTTTTAAAAGTTAAGAATCAAGGGCTGGGGATATAGCTCAATCAGTAGAGTGCTTGCCTTGCATGCACAAGGCCCTGGGTTCAATCCCCAGCACCATAAAAAAAAAAAAAGTTAAGAATTAAGAATTGATAAAGATTTGGCCCTTAAAATACACTAGAGTTAAAAAAAAAAAATCAAAGCACAACAGTGTGTGTGTGTACTTACGATGATAGATGCTCATCAGGAACTGTAAAATGGGAATAGAAAAAAAAGTTAATTATGTTATACTAGTGACCACAGACACAAAAAATCTTAAAAAAGACTACCATCAAAAAGGCTTACAAATGACAAACTGAACCTATGTATATAATTTTGTTCCTTCCCTAAATCCGCCTAAAACAGTAAAAAAACCCATAAACTCCCAAGAATGAAAAAGGCAGGAAGAAACAATACTAAGATAAACTGGAAGTAGATAGAAGAGTGAAAAATAATTCACAAGATCTGAAAAAACTGAATCCTAGGCTAGCAGTGGGGGAGAGTCAAGCACCAAGCTGATTTAATTACAGAATCCAATACTTCTCCTCTACCTTACTCCCCTCAATCCCCCACCAAAAAAAGAAATTCTCAAAATTGGTAGTACCAGATTGTTCTGGAGGCTGGTATCAATCAGGGACATTAAGATAACAAAAAGTCTATGGGCTGGGGTTGTGGCTCAGCGGTAGAGCGCTTGCCTGGCACATGTGGGGCCCCGAGTTTGATCCTCCTCAGCACCACATATAAATCAATAAAATAAAGGTGTGTGTGTATATATATATATATATATATGTTTAAGAAGTAATCTACGGCCTAGCTATAGATGGCTGCTGTCTTTGCGCTCTGACAAAAGACTAGGTTCATTTTCTGGAGAGATTCAAACATATGCTATCTGAACTAGAGGAAAATTCCAGGTACACACAATGGAGCTAAGGTGTCACATGAAAAACAGGGGACCTCATGCTCTCTTCCTCAATATGGCTCTTGTAATACAATCAGGCTTTACCCTTTGGGCAGTCTTTCCTGGGGACTCTGACCAAGCCAAGAGGAATGACAGTGGAATGTTTTCCCCAACTAGCCTAGTAAAAACAATTACAATGACATTAACCATCCATAAGCTCTTCTATATCCAGAGTCTTCACACTTAAACATTCTAGACAACTAAGAATTACTGGGAAACAAAGGAAAAAAGACAGAGAACAAAACAAACAGAAGCAAACTAGAGAAAAAACTGCGGAGAGAAAATATTTCAAACACCTATCAATATTATCAGAGAAAAAAACAAGCAAAGCAACTGTAAAACAGGCACAAGATATAATAAAGGGATCTTCAGGGGAAAAAAATTGTAAATATGACAGCAGAAATTCTAAAAAAAGGAATCTGAAAGATTCAGTTAAAGAAAGTTCCTAGGAAGTGGAGAAAATTTAAAAAATGAAATATATGAGAAATTGTACATCACTCAAGAGGAACAATAAAGGGCATTCAGGAACTGAATAATGGAAACACTAGGAAAAAACAAAACTTGTCAATCCAATTTGAAAATTTCCCAGAACTGAAGAATATGAATTCCTAGTCTGAAAGGGGCCACTGAGTGCCCACATGGTAGAGTGAAAAAATAAAAAATAATTCTCATCAGAAGATTCTAAAAAACTGGTCATAAAGAAAAGATACCGTTGAGCTTCCAAATCCATGGATTTTATATGGTTCCATGTTTCAACCAGCCTTGGATTAAAAACAAAACCAAAACAAACAACAAATTTGGAAAAATATTCTCTGTGCCTGTACCTGAACATGTAGATTTTTTTCTTATCTTTATTCCCTAAGCAATACAGTACAACTACTACTTATGTAGCATTTACATGTACCAAACATTATGAGTAATTGAGAGATGATTTAAAGTTTATGGGAGGATATGTATAGGTTATATGCTATTTTAAATAAAGAACTTGAGCATCGGTGATGTCCACAGGAGGTCCTGCAACCAATCCTCTAAGGATACTGAGGAACAAGTGTGATTCAACTTCCAGAAAAATAAAAGTCACATAAAAAAATAAGGAGAAACACTAGAAGATAGAAGATAGCATAATAATGCTTTCAGATGTCTCAAGAAATATTATTTCCAACATATAATTTAACACTTAGCCAACCTATCAATTAAGTGTGAGTACAGAAAAACTTTCAGACATGCTAAGCCTTAAAAAGTACATCTCACACCCTTTCATCCCCTTCTTCACGAAGCTACAAGAGCTTATGCTCCATAAAATAAGGTAGAAAACCAAGAAAAGAAAATTGTAGGATATACTAAATATAAGGCCCAACATAGGTAAAGAGAATTCCCAGGATAATAATGGTGAAGGGAGATCTCAGGAGACAGATGAGATCAGCCAATTCATATTAGACAAGTCAGAACGCTCTAGGAGAGATTTCTTCAGAAAAATGAAATTGATGAACACCTTTTTCATTCGAACATGTTGAGTAGAGATTTAGAACACTGATAGAATGTGGGGTTGAATTATGGATAAATACACAGAAAACTAAACAAACCAAGACAACTGTAACTCCAGGGGAACCAAAAAGTAACACAGGAAATGTAATCTTAATTTCCTACATGGCTCAGCTACAACTAGTTTACATATCCTTACACAAGCTTTGAATCTTTATTTAAAACTATTAGCACTGAAGAATGGGGGTTAAGGAAGGTTCTAAGACTAAAAAACAAGTCTGCTAAAAAATAAACATGATTAAATGTCAGTGGTCCTTGTGTCCCAGCCATGAGTGTCAACAGCACTTACTATGGTCCCCTTCAAGATTGTCGGCCTAAGGTTTGATCCATTCTGACATACTCCAGTAAAAGTTGATTCCATTTTGAACTCTCAGACCGTTCAAGCTTAGACAAGAAACACTGAACTGACAATACATTAGCTTTCCCCCCATCCTTTCTGGAATCAGGACGTTTAACCCTCAGTAAATTCTGACTGAAATGAGAAAACAAAAGTTGCTTTACTTTTCTCAGTCTTTTAAAAACAGTAATGCAAAATAACCCATATTGAAGCACACAAAAGCCATGCAAGTACATAAGCAATGGCAGTCTTGAAACCTAATTTGGCTTTTGTTTACAGAGTGGCCATCTTTACACTGTAAGAGTAGTTCGAATAGTCCATACATTTTGATTTGAAATATCCTTTTTTAAAATTTGTAATGCTGAGATGATCCTGGCTCCATGATATTAGTGACATAGGCATAAAGCACCCTCTGCTGGTCCCTGGAAGAAAGACTTTTAGAGCATCCAGATTTATTCCAGAAATTAGCATATGCATTTGGGTTTGTGAYCCTAAGGTATTTACTTTCTGAACAAAGTATATGAAGAGTTTTTAAAGTTAACATTAGGACTTGAGAAAAATTATGTTTTAAAATTCAGAGTTTCGAATGAAATAACTTAAGAGCTAGCTTTTCCATTACTCACTATGGGATTCGGTCCTTTCAACCTCCCAAGCCCCTCTCACGTGTACTCAACGCTAGTCCCAGAGCTTCTGTCCTCCTCATTGGCCTGTTCGCCCCGGCGGGAGGAGTGCCACCACCTGCCACTGTTCCTTAAATATCTGTTAAATGGATCTGACTTTTATGACCGAAATGTTTCTATTTAATTTTATTGTTTTCCATGAGCCTGGAGTTTAGAGATAAGGGAAAAAACTCGGGCAGTTCACAGCGCCCACCCGGGTGGGGCCCGGAACCCCGCGCCCGTGGGCCCTGGCACCCCCGACCCCCTCGACGTGTTCCGAGGCCCACAAAGCAGCCACGCACGGCCTACGACCCGTACTTCGTGCGGTTTCCCTCACTGCCGCGGCCATCTCGCTCAAGAGCTCCTCTACGACCACGGGTAACGTGACAGCCATGATGCCACAGGTTGCATCCTCTTCAACAAGATCTTAGGCCCCCGAACTCCGACCTGCTACGATAACCTGCGAAGGAATCCCGCCGCCACTGGGGTTGGGGCGAGACCGTGACGTCGGTGTACGTCATCGCGCATGCGGAAAGCAACGATGACGCCTTCTTGGACGTAATGGCCCGACCAATCCGGCGAACCCTTTGCGCAGGGGGCGGGGCGTCCCGGGATCCGACCGGCCTGCAGTGCGCAGAGGACGCGGCGGGAGCATGTACCGGCTCCTGAGGTGGAGCCGGRGTCGAGGCCTCCTGCGGGCCGCGGGGCGGCGGTACCGAGGCTACTCGGCGCGCCTGCTCCCCGGGCTGGCAGGAGGCCCCGGGCCCGAGATGGAGGTGCCGCCACCCCGAGTTACGCCGCACGGCCGCGGCCCTGGCCTGCTGCCGCTACTGGCAGGTGAGGGGCGCGGGCCGGGCGGGGCAGGCCGGGCGGGGACCGGGGCGCGGGCCGGGCCCGGTGACCTCAGAGCCCCTTCCTGCAGCGCTCTCCTGGTTCTCGAGGCCTTCTGCGGCAGATGCGGAGGAACAGCAGGGAGCGGGCGGGGCCGCCGCTGAGGATGCGGCGGACGAGGCAGAGGCCGAGATCATTCAGCTGCTGAAGCGAGCCAAGGTGAGGCTTCGTGAGCCCTTGTGAGCGAGGCCTTCCCTATAGTTTGCCGAAACGTGGATGGAGGCTCGGAGGATAAAAATGCCCAAAATTAGATGGATCATCAGAGGGGGGGAGGTTGGGATCCATTCAGTCTGGTCCGTCTCTAAAACCTGCAGTAAAATTGCTGCAGTCTCAAGTGCAGGTGGAGATGGCACCCTTGGCATGTTTCTTTTGTTTGAACAAATTATTGAAAATGTTTTATGGTTGTTTTTAATCAATTAACCAGCCAAGATGAAGTGGGCATTATTTGCACATACTACGATCCTTAAAATGCAATTCTTCCTTTTCTCCATATCTTTTTTTTCCCCTTAATATTCCCTTTTTTTTTTTTCACCCCAGGCTCTCTCAGTTTGCTGTTTACATTCTGTCTCCACTGTAAGGCCTCATCTACCTCTCAGACTTAAAAATGCCCCAAACCAAACTCTTCCTCTTGAATGCCTTTCCAACACATTCTTTATCTTTATGACCATCAGTTTCTCAGCATCATTCCTAAAACTTGTGGTACTCTATCATTGCCTTCCAGTACACAGCGGTAATTCCTGTTGCCACCAAATGCAAAATATTTTTCAAATATGGCCCATTTCTCTATTTCCCTTGCTGTTGTCATCCTAGTGCAGTCACTGTCACCAACTGGAAGAGGGTCTTTTGACCCTCTACAATTCCTTTTCCATACATCAGTCTTAGTGATACCTACGATGCATTTTCCATACTGCAGCCTTAGTGATATTTTAAAGATGCAAACCAGCTCACATCACTCTTGCCTGACAACTCTGAGAAATTTCCCACTGCACTTGTTAAAATTCAGACTCTTTGCCATGGTCAGCAAGATCCTAAGATCTAAACCAGCCTACCTCACCCATTCATTTGCAGTAATGCTCTGGCTCACCATTCTTCACATTTCTTTCCTGGCAGTTCTTCTGAAGAACCATTCTCTTCAACCTGTACAGGCTTCACTCATTCTCTGTGGGTCATTCTTCCTCCCAATTCCATATTTGGTTGACTTACTGTCACCCTTTGTTCCTCAGTTTAATTCTTATTTCTTTGGAAGATTTCCCTGATTTCCATTGGAGGAGACTCCTCCTCCTCACTTGCCTTTTTTTTTTTTTTTTTGCTGGGGATTGAATCCAGGGCCTTGTGCATGCAAGGCAAGCACTCTACCAACTGAGCTATAACCTCAGGCCCCTGTCCTTCTCACTTCTTTCCATTGTTTTTCTTCATAGCTATTAATGAATTGTAATTAAGCCTATCCCCCCCCCCCCATGGTCCCCTTCAGCCTAAAGGAAGGAAGAGAAAAAGAGGATGAGCTGGGTGCACTGGTGTGTGGCTGTAATCCCAGTGACTTGGGAGGCTGAGACAGGAGGATCACAAGTTTAAGACCAGCCTTGGCAAATTTATGAGACCCTGTGTCAAAATAAAACATAAAAAGGGATAGGGAGGTGACTCAGTGGTTAAGTGCCCCTGGGTTCAATCCTTGCTACCAAAAAAAAAAAAAAAAAGGAAAAAGATGAAGGACAAACAGATTTCTTATAAAGTACGATATAAAGATTTCTCACATTCCTTCTGCCTGCATCTATTGGCAAAAACTTCATTACACATAGCCACATATAGCTGCCAGGGAGGCTGACCTCCTTGTCATCTATAGACAATGCTTGCTGCATAGTAGGAGTCAGTAAGTATCTGATGAATGAATAGCTTCTTTCTATGAATTGGGATGTATAGCCATCTGTACTTCTTTCTGGAAGCACATGCATGTGCTTTCCTTATACATCATTTAATGTTATTTTCTTTTTCTTCTCTTTTTAGTTGAGCATCATGAAAGATGAACCAGAAGAGGCTGAGCTAATATTGCATGATGCTCTTCGCCTTGCCTATCAGAGCGATAACCTGAAAGCCATCACTTACACTTATGATTTGGTAACTCTTCTAATCAGAGCTACTGATGAAGAAGAGTGGATGCTTGAAAAGGATTGTTCTTCCTGATTTCTATTCCTGACCGTTGGGGTGTTTGAAAGCTCTATTTTCATTGTTGTCATTTTCTTTTTTCTTTTAAACCATTGGCAGAATCACTTATGAGACGTCTCAATTCCCGACCAAAAAGAAACAAATAGCTTTTGTTTCTTTAATGATAAGTAGATCTAGATTTCATTTATTATCAACAGTATATGCAACAAAGTATTTGCTTCTTATACCATTGCTGTACTGTGCTAGCAGATTAACTGGTGACATACTTTATCCACTTTGAACTTTTGTTTTTTTAATTCAGAGGGTGACTGCCAAAGGGAATCTTTAGCTTAAAGGTTTTTGGATAAGTAGGAACACAGTGCTCTAAACTGAACAATTTATAATTTGCTTTTAGATGGCCAACTTAGCGTTTATACGGGGTCAACTAGAAAATGTAAGTAAATCATTTTGTAATATTTTGAATTTGTGAAATACGAGCCTCTAGGGAACGCAATAGTAATGATACAGGCTAAGCTACTATGACCCAGAATATAGTGACTCAGAGAGGATGAAGTTATTTCTCTTTTTTTTGACATATATTTTTTAGTTGTAGTTGGACACAATACCTTTACTTTTATTTATTTTTATGTGGTGTGAGGATCGAACCCTAGGCCTTGCATGTGCTAGGCAAACACTCTGCCGCTGAGCCACAACACCAGCCCCTGAAGTGAGTCTACATGTAGGTCAAAGACTAAAGGCAAGATAGGCATCTCTGCTGTCTGGTTCAGAAGTCTGGTTCTTTCTAAGCTGCATGGGTGAGCTGACTCACTTCCAGCCTGCAGGAAGGGAGAAAAAGAAGATGAAGGGCAAGCAGCATCCTTATAAGTTATGGTTTAAAAAGTTCATATTCTTCCTGCATGCAACTCCTGGCCACAATTTCATCATATGACTACATGTAGCTTTAAGGAAGGCTGATCTGCTAAAAATTGAGGGGATTTTATAGCCATAATGATGGGAGAGTGACTATTGGGGCCAATTTGCAATCTCTGCCACAGTGATTTGATGAGAAGTTGATTTCTACTCATCCACAGAGTAGATTAAGATACACAGGATGTGGGACCCTGATACTTTGGTCCATTTTCCTTCCAAAAAAGTACTTTTCTGTGTGTTTGGGGTGTGTGTGTGTGTACATATGTGTACGTACATAGGAATGCTACATCAGACTGACACTTAGAATCCAAGGGTCATGTAGAGAATTGGGTCCAAATGAAAAATCTTTTCCTTACGCTTTTAGGCAGAACAACTTTTTAAAGCAACAATGAGTTACCTGCTTGGAGGGGGCATGAAGCAGGTAAGAATATTGCCTATTATTGGCCCCCCATTGAAGCGGTTTTTAAAATAATCTTCCTGAAAACTTCTCCCCCAGTCTTCAATGTGTGCTTTGACCAAAAAAGGTGAATTTTTTGCTCCCGTACCTCTATAAAAATGGCCAATCTTTCACTAATTCAAAAGCATGGTTGCTGAGAACTTCACTAATTTCTCTAAAAGTCAAGAAGTTGAACTGAAATAATCTGTGAGGAAGTTTTACTTGTCATGAATTACCTTTATTTCTCCTCTCCCAATAGGAAGACAATGCAATAATTGAAATCTCCTTAAAACTGGCCAGTATCTATGCTGCTCAGAATAGGTAAGTGTGGTTAGAATGTAGGTGTAACAGTGGTGAGAGAATGGGCCTGTGGGCAGGAAACTCTTGATTCTAGGGTGTCATAAATCTTCATTTACCTACAAGTCATCAGGGTCTTCAAAAAATTGGCTTTCACCTTTCAATTGTCCCATCCCTTGTCTTAGCAGTCTTCAGGCTTTTCCAGTTCTGCCCTGCTTTTTCCTTTAGCTTGCTGAGGGGAAGCACACAGCCCTCACACCTGGCTGTGTGATAAAGCTAGTCAAGTTTTTTGTTCCTGCTTGAAGCGAGAAGGGAAGTTTAAAAGTGGAGAGAGCAATGTAAAATTGCTGGGGATAATACACTTTGAAAAAACCACTTTCTTTCTTTTTTTTTTTTTTTTAGTATTTTTTTAGTTGTAAATGGATCTTTTATTTATTTATTTAAATGTGGTGCTGAGGATCGAACCCAGGGCCCACATGCCAGGCAGCTGCTCTTCCACTGAGCCACAACTCCAGCCCCAAGAAACCACTCTCTTGATATAGGCATCAGCAAAAGAAGTTGTTAGGTATCAAGGTACATGGTGAGAGTCACTGTGGGAGTATCTTGTGGCTCATTTTCATTATCCATTCTGAGAAAACAGCAGCTTTTTTTTTTTCTTTTTTTCCTTTCTTTTGGGTACTGGGGATTGAACCTAGGGGTGCTTTACCACTGAGCTATATCCCCAGCCCTTTTTAAAATTTTTTATTTTGAAATGGTTTTGCTAAGTTTTGCTGAGGCTAGCCTCGGATTTGCCATTCTCCTGTTTTAGCCTCAGCCACTGGGATTACAGGCTTGCACCACCATGCTTGACAATAAATGGCTATTTTTAAGACCTTAGCAGAAGGTTTTGAATAAAATATTTTGTTTAAATGACTTGACCACTGACCTTATGTAGAGTATGTAGAGTTGATGATAGGTAGGTTTCTGGAAGGGGAACTAGCCAAGAGTAGAGGAGAGATCTATAAATAAGTAAATCATTTCTTATAAAGAAGAAAAATATGCCAGCTACATTGGATGACCTTAGACAACAATTTAGATAACATGCCAAAGGCTGAGAGCACTGATGAGTTGAGGGCCTTTTATTCCCATCAGTTTCTAGGTGGAGTTCAAAGAAGAAGCATATAGGATGTAAGCAGAGAACTCTAGACTGGATTTTATTTGGGGTGAGTTTAGGGGGAGAATTAAAACTAGCTTTTTAGTTACTGCAGAATTTGGTGCCAGAGGTTTGGAGTGACATCAAGTCAGATACTATACAAAGGGTTCTCATTGAAGTCCTGGTACTGGTCTCTGCTGTCCTAGTCACAGCTTCTTCATTTTCATCAAGTCTCTCTGCATTTTGATTGGACAGTAATACTTCCGAGGGCCTTTGACTTCAAGTTGTCTAAAGAGCTTTAAGTTTGATTGGTACCAGGAAACGTTTTGGCTGAGGTCAGTCTTCCTAGGAAGAGTATCAAATAGGAATAGATATTGGTGGAACTGAACTGCTCAGGTAAGAAGCCAATAAAAACCAATAAAACACAGGAAAGTAATACAATTTATAATCTTGTAGATGTGAAAGCTTTTATAGTATCCATTAATAATTAACCTTTAAGTACTTTTCATTCTGTTTTGTTGAGAGAATCATAAGGTAGAAGACAAGGCCCAGGTCCTGAGGCTTAGAAAGCCTGATACGAGTCAGGAGAGGAATTTTTTTTTTTTTTTTTTTTGTAGCTATAAACAGCATAAATGTATTTGTTAATTTTATGTGGTGCTGAGCATTGAACACAGTGCCTCAGACATGCCAGGCAAGCGCTGTGCAGCTACAGCCCCACACTGGAGGAATTTTTTATAGGCCTCTTGCCCTACTGGGAACATTTTGTGGCAGCCTCTTCCTGCCCCCATGTCTTGGCTGAAAAGGGTCCCTGCTACCAAGGTTTGGGTCCAGAGAAGAAAGGGGATGCTTTTGTTCTAAGAATAGAGTAGCTCATCAGGGTCATCAGCTCTTCCCTGGGAAGGCACTAGAGGAAAAGGTTGAGATTTATAGTGCTACTTCTGGTAAGAAAGTAGAGGCAACATGGAAGAGCAAAAATCAAAACTAAGCTACATAGAGGGGGAATTTCATTTTTGGAACCCAGGGACACTTAGCCACTGATCCACATGCCCAAGTCCTTCTTTATTTTTCATTCTGAGATGGTGTCTCAAAAGAATTGTGAAGGGCCTCGAATTGCTTTGAATTCTCTTGTCTCAGCTTCATGAGCCACTGGGGTTACAGGTGTGCACTGCCTTGCCCAGACTGAAGGAGAAATTTCTGTCATATTCCTCTGCATCTCTTTATAGAAATCAGGGAGTCAATCTGCATGCTTGGATGCCATCTTCAGTTGACTGAGGGTCCAGAACTAGAGTCAGTCTAAATATTGCCATGGCTAAAAGTTTCATTACTTTGGAAAACTTTTATCAAAGACTCATAGTTTGAGAGAAGTATTATACAATCAAAAGCTTCCCAGAAGCTACATGAACGCAGCAATTGGAATCCCCAGTGCAGGGGGAGCTGAGCTTCCCTTTGTTAGGTCATACTTCATATTACTTTGATCAGGTGTGGGCTTTCCCATGCTTACTCATTTGATACTGATATTGGGAGATGATGAAAGACCACTGTTTATGTTAGTTGTGAAAATTTTCACAGCATTCCTAGCTTTTCATGTTTTAATTTACCTTAAATAGATTACTTTAGAAAAAATTTTGAGAGTTGGTAGATTGATAGCCCAGAGGTACTTTAAGCATAATTCCCACTTCCCTTTATCAATAATGCTGAAACTTGAGCTGGAAAGATGGAGGTAAAAGAAGAGTTTGAGAAAAGGTAAATGGTTGCTTATTGATCTTTGTTTCACAGACAAGAATTTGCTCTCGCTGGCTATGAATTCTGCATTTCAACTTTAGAGGAAAAAATTGAACGAGAAAAGGAATTATCAGAAGATGTTATGTCAGGTAGGAAACTGGGCTCTTCTGGATGTTGTGTTTTCTCCACAAAAGGCTTATGTCTGTATCAGGGAGGGTAAGATATCCATTGTTCACTGTGACTCTTAATATTATGAAGTCTGGAATAAGCTGGGATATTTTGTTTGAATGATTTGATAGCTCTTTTGTTTGTATTTTTTATTTGAACTGTTCTTTGAAGATGTGTTCATAAATTATCAGTCAATTTTAATCTATATATAACCTCCAAGAAATTGGGAAGCAGAAAGGGAAGGCCTTTCTCTTACCTCTTAGTTCAACTACTAGATTTCTTTCTTTCTTTCTTTCTTTTTTTTTTTTTTTTTTTTGTTGGTGGGGTGCTGGGAATTTAACCCAGAGCTTTGTGTACGTGGGGCAAGCCCTCTACCAACTGAGCTATATCCCCGGCCCCTCAACTACCAGTCAAAATGCAATAATTACTTTTCTTAATAGCAGTAGGTTAAGGAAAGACAGAAAGAAGCTTTGCGTTTTTTCCACACTTGTAGAAACTGGAAATGGAATGAGGTTGGCTGGAACCCTTCAAAGGGTGTGCCATTTTGGGTTTCTTAATTTTGTTTAAAGTATTGGGAGTTTTCAGATTTGACATTTGTTCAGTAACTTCTTTCATACCTGCCGTATGCCAAGAGCTAGTGAGATATTAGGGATTCCGTGGTCAAGTCTAATTCATGAAGTAAGACACCACAATAGAGTTGTCTTCCAATTCTCTCTTGAACATACGTCAGTTTTTCTTCTCCATCACTCTACTAAAGCCACTTCTCTCAGAGTCACCAAATCTAGCAGTCATTTTCTCAATCCTTAGCTTTCTTATTCATTAGCAGCTTTTACTTGGGATTAATCTCTTCTACTGGAAATACATTCCTTTGATTTTGGGGCACCTTACTCATGTCTTTCCCTTACTGACCTCAAGTGGTGGTGGACTTCAGAGCTGTCCACACTCTCCACTTTTCCCTCTGCCCTCATGCCCTAGGAGAGACCATGTACTCTCATACTTTTTAGATTTACATCTTCAGACCCAGCTTGCACCTGAATAGCAGACTTATGGGTATGATTGCCTACCTGTCATCTTGACTTGAATGGTGAATGGTCATCTCACACTTAACATATCTAGAATGGATCTTTTCAATTCTGTCACTTACAAATTTGTTTCTACACAAGTCAGTCCAGGTTAGTAAGTGGCACTAATAATCATCCAGTTGCTTAGCCATAAAGCTTTGGCCCAGTTGCTTTGGACCTATAAGGCCCTCTGTGATCTGTCCCCCACCAACCTTTCCTACATCATCCATTGCACTCTCCTTGCTCATTCCATTCTTACCATACTGAATCTCTGTTGTTCTTGCACATCCCAAGTTCATGCCATTTTTTTTTTTTTTTTGCAGGGGGTGGGGTGGTACCGAGGATTGAACTCAGGGATCCTCAACCACTGAGCCACAACCCCAGCTCTATTTTGTATTTTCTTCAGAGACAGGGTCTCACTGAGTTGCTTAGCACCTTGCCATTGCTGAGGCTGGCTTTGAACTTCGGATCTTCCTGTCTCAGCCTCCTGAGATGCTGGGATTACAGGCGTGTGCTAGCTTATCCCACCATGCCATCTTTAAGGCCTTTTTGCTTAATATTTTCTCTGTCTAGATTGTTCTCCCATATTCTTCCATGGGTAGCTGCCTCACTTTATTCAGATCTCTGCTCAGATATTTCTTCAGAGGCTTATCCTGACTAAAATAATCATCTCTTCCTACATAGTATTATTTACCTCTTTAACTTTTCTTCATCATGCTTTAAAGTAGAGATCTGTGTTATGTGCTTGTCTGAATTACCAATAAAAGTATATTTTTGTTCAAGCATTTTTAGTTTTTGTCTTCCCTATCAAAGAGGGATCAAGACATCATCTGAGGGCTGGGGCTGTAGCTCAGTGGTAGAGTGCTTGCCTTGCAAATGTGAGGCACTGGGTTCAATCCTTCAATCCTCAGCACCACATAATAAATAAATATAGTGTGTCTAAGAAATATTAAAAAAAAATCTGTTTTGCTATTACTAAATCCTCAGAACCTATAGTAGTTCCTGGCATATAATAGAAGCTCAGAAGACTCAAGAAAAATGAGTAAGCAAATACAATTTTAGTGTAGCGTGGAAGTGCTATAAGAAAACTAACAAAAGGTGCGAAAACAAATCTGTCAAGTGTGTGAACTAACTACTAGTCGAACGTTTGACCCTAGTGTAGGAGTGTATATCTATCTTTTTCAATTCCAAAAGCCCAGTTATCATTTAAAAAAAAATGAAGAAAAGCCTAAAGAAAAACGTAAAGGTCATCATCCTTAATCCTGCTGCTAAGAAAGAACTATTTTTTAGAGTATGTCTTTTTTTGGCTTTTCCTCTCATGCTGTTTATGTTTTAAGAAATAAATTAGGGGGGCTGGGGTTGTGGCTCAGCTGTAGAGTGCTAGTCGAGCACGCGTGAGGCCCTGGGATCAATCCTCAGCACCACCAACAAATAAACAAGTGAAATGGAGATATCATGTCCAATTACAACTAAAAACTAAATAAAAAAAAAAAAAAAAAAAAAAATAAAATAGGGGCACCATATGTACTGAATGTTTTTTTTTTTTTTTTTTGGTGCTGAGAATTGAAACCAGGGTCTTGTGCATGCAAGGCAAGTGTGCTACCAACTGAACTACATCCCCAGCCCCTATAACCTAATTTAAAAAAAAAAAAATTTATTTTTAGTTTTAGATGGACACAATACCTTTATTTATTTATTTATTTTTATGTGGTACTGAGGATCAAACCTGGTGCCCCATACATTCGAGGCAAGTGCTATGCTACTGAGCCACAATCCCAGCCCTAACATGATTTTTTAAAAAAATATATATTTTAGTTGTAAATGGACCTTTATTTTATTTATATGTGGTGCTGAGACTTGAACCTGGGGCCTCACACATGCTAGGCAAGGGCTCTACCACTGAGCCACAACCCCAGCCCCCTAACCTGATTTTTTTTTTAAAGATCTTATTTATTTATGTATTTTTTTAGTTCTCAGCAGACACAACATCTTTGTTTGTATGTGGTGCTGAGGATTGAACCCGGGCCGCACGCATGCAAGGTGAGCGCGCTACCGCTTGAGCCACATCCCCAGCCCGCTAACCTGATTTTTAATAGCTAGTAAATGTAATATGGAAATACTTTTCCTAGATAAAGGAATTCTTGCTGGATAGAGCAAGCTAATTTCTATTGTAAACATATAATTTTATTTCTAGAGAAATAAATTCTTTCTCAGGTTTGTACAAAGCAAATCATTTATCAAAGAAAACATTACTAAAAATCATATTAAAAACTTGGTCTGACTGGGCATGGTGGTACACGCCTGTAATCCCAGCGGCTCAGGAGATCAAGGCAGGAGGAGTTAGAGTTTAAAGCCAGCCTCAGCAAAAAAGCAAGTTGCTAAGCAACTCAGTGAGACCCCGACTCTAAGTAAAATACAAAATAGGGCTGGGGATGTGGCTTAGTGGTCAAGTGCCCCTGAGTTCAATCCCTGGTACCAAAAACAACAACTACAAAAAAACAAACTAAAAAAACCTGGTCTGGAGTCTTTGCTTCTCTGTATTATAGATCGATATGTGATTACTGAGGAAATGTCTATAAAAATCTATGTGAAAATGTAGTTACAAAATAGTGTAATTAATAAGACCCTAATTTTCTAAAATACTGAAGATTAAATATAGGCAGAGAAAAGGGGTTGAATGATCTTTATCAAAATGTAGACAGTGACTTTCCCTGATTGGTAGATTTATAGGAGATTTATATTTCATATGTTTTTCTGGATATTCTATAATTTTTTACTGTAAATTTATATTTTTTCTCTTCAAACTTAATTTTTTTTTTAAGTTGTTGATGGACCTTTATTTTATTTATTCATATGCAGTGCTCAGAATTGAACCCAGGGCCTCACACATGCTAGTCAAGTGCTCTACCACTGAGGGGCAACCCCAGCCCTGAAACTTAATTTTTGTTGTTAACAATATATAGTATAAATAAGTCAAAGAGTATTTCAGGGCTTAATTTACAATAGCATTTCCTTGCCACACTTCATTCCATCTATTTTCAATGCAACTAATTTCTTCTGATATTTACTTTCATATTTCTAAGTTATGTAAAATTTGCTATTTCTTGATTTATTATTTTAGGAAGCTATTGACTTATGGAAGAGTGAAGATTTAGCACAAGTTGTGCTTATGTACAAATATTCCCTTTGTTAAGTAGTGTTATCAGCTGAGCAGGGATATGATTATATAACTATGTTTACAACTTTATATACAACTTTTCATTTTTCTCTGGGATAACTTTTTTGGTTGCTTGGTTTTATATTTCTAGGACCTGTTATTCGTTTTATCATAGTACTTGCTTTCTTCAGTTCCAGACCCTTATGGTGTTCCTGGAAGCTGGTTGGCTTCTCTCTCACTGGTATGTCTAGCTGTAGGCATTCAGTTGTCATTTCCCTTTTATGTGCTTAGTAACTTACCATTTTCTCTCTGCTTTGTATTGTCTGTAGTTTTTAAAAAAATATTTATTTTTTAGTTGTAGGTGTACATAATACCTTTATTTTATTTTAATATGGTGCTGAGAATCAAACCCATTGCCTCACGTACGCTAAAAAAGCACTCTACCACTGAGCCACACCCCAGCCCCTTGCCTGTAATTTTTTGGTATCATCTCCCTTGATTTTTCTCTACTTTCTTTAGCCTTGTAGCTTTATAATGGCATATCTACATTGTAGTATAGTTCTCTGTTATTGGACATCAGTGTATTTATTCTTTTTAAATACATTCTTAGCATTGAACTTCTGGATCAAAAGTAATACATTTTAAGATTGTTGATGAATATTGCCAAATTTTGAAATAACTGCTAGTTTACATTTTCTGTTTTACTATTTGTTTACTTTGTGACCTGGTCAAATTAATTAATTTCTTTGTGCTTTGATCTTTA